GAAACCAGGAACATGAAGAAGCCTCTTTATGACTAGAACATTGTTTAGTTAAGAGTGAAATACAGTTACTTCTGTGCTGTTAAACACATTTTCACCAAATTTAGAGTCAGAGTTGAATGCTAGCAGGGATATTAACAGTAATGTGAGAAGTAATCACTTGGTGATTAAACATAAATGATTGCTTGTTGTAGTTCACACACTTCTATGTCAAATACCTGTCAAGCTTATTACTACATTGTTAATGTCAGACTTAATGTACTTTCCAAAAAAGCAGAGCCGGTTTAGTACTCATTCATGGGCGCGGCCCTGCGGTGTCCTTTCTGCTTGGCACCCTCAAGGCTAATGGCATGTCCAGGTACCATCCATGCCTGCACCTGCACCTGCACCTGCATCAGATGGGGCAGAAAGGACACACGTAAAGGCAATTATATACATACATAAGGAATGTTAATCAGTAAGTTATTTTGTTTAAGAAACGTTGTTCTTGTCAAAATGATTAGCAGTTGGCAGTCAGGGGAGGAAAAGCTGTATTAAAAGATTGATTAAATCAATAAAGAAAAAAACAAGGCTATCCATTGAGTATTGAACCCCTTTATGAACTTCTTCACTACAGAACTGACTATAAGGTTTAGCTGCTGCATAGCCATTTCTCCCACAATAAGTGTTCAAGACAACTCTGGCAACAAAGCACAGTGCTTATGCTTATATTGAGGTTTGCACATACAACGTACACTTTAAGCAGGTTCAGCTTGGAAACACAACTTTCCCGAGGAGTATGGTAGTTCACCTGGTAGAACGTGCGCCCCCATGTACACTGTAAAACCTGTAAAAGTTCCTTTAACTCCAAAAATTGTTGGAATGAATTACATCAAAGTAAAACTTACTTAATGTTGTAAATTAAAAAAACATTCTTGATCAAATAGTTTTATTTTTTGTACTGTAACAACAAAATACCTCATTAACAGTTTCTTTAACTGGTAAAAGCTGCTTAATCAAGAATCTGTTTAAGTTACAAAATTGTGTTTGTGTTTCTTAAAATGTATGTATGTATGATGTGCTATCTTTTAAAATGTTAAAGTTAAGTGAACTTAGTTTGAACTTATATTTACTATCTGAATTTCTATGTGAATGTTTTGTTCATTGCTTTGTTAATAAGGAGATAACGAGGCGATGAAAGATTGAGTAAGACAATAACTACACTCTAATTAACTGGGTTATTTTTTATTAGCTTGGAACTGGATCCAAAATCCAACCAACTATTTGAGCCAAACACTAGTGACAGGGGAGGCTGAGAAATAAGCGGACGTCTTCTGTGGCTGTGATAAATGCACTTCACCAACAGCACTTTAATGCTCAAACTGAAGAGTGAAGAGGAAAAGACATAAAAAGACAAACCGTCCTTGCAGCTAGAAAGACATTCCTTCCCCTGGCTTAACATGACAGAAGCTACTGAGCAACTGAGTCAAACCGTCTTTTATGACTCATATATGGGGTTTTTTGAACTGACTTTGCTCATGTCATTTAGCTTTGTTTTGTATACACAGATACCATTTGCATACACTTCCTTCTGATACTGACTCTGTGGTGGAGGTTAGGGTGGAGCCGGGTACATAGCAACCAGAAAGTATAAGACACACGCACATATATACAGTCATATCAAGGGAAGAGTCAGGACTTTTATTCTACAGGGTTTAATATGAATCACTGAATCATAGGGGGTGAGGTGAAAAAGAGAATTAGCTCTTATTCTTGTGTTTGCACCTGTGCAGGTGTGAGTGTGTCTGTGAGAGAATGAGCATATAAGGGAGGATAAGAGAAAGACAAGACTCATTCATCGCCCGAGGGACTTTGCATCAAAGGTGAAAGAGGTGACTGTGCAGGGAAACTGTGAGAAATGAGAGGAGCTCTGTGCTCAGTTTCGACATGGCTGCCTGCATCTCCCATCTTTCTTTTCATATTTATATGGTATTAATGCTGAAACTGCAACATAACAGTACATCTAAGTATACCTATAGGAGCTTTTACGAGAGCGGATATGCTGTATGTGTCCACTGTGTATCGTGCCGTCTGGTTTGAGGCAGCGGGACAGGAGAGCAGGCAGGTTGCAGGCTGCTGCAGGTCACTGATCCTGTGACAGAAGCGTACCTGTGTGCAGCAGGGTGACATGGATATGCCTCCTGGGGGTATGCAGACAGAGTCGGGGAGGGGAGATACGGGTGAATGGGAGGGAGGGGCCCTTCAGAGAGCTGTCACATGACACCTGAACCAATCTGGGTCAACGGCCTCACAGAGACAAACGATGCTGCTCCACCTCCTCTTTCACAGAGGGCTTCTTTCACTCCAGGCCTGATAGTAGAAAAGAGATTAGCTCTGATGTAATGTAACTTTATTTGGGAGACTTTTGGATGTTTTTGCATGTCTGAGCCCATTCACTACAAAGTGCATATGTCTTACCAACCTTCCATTGATTTCTGCTTATTTGACTATATAAAAGTCACACGACAATGGTGATTTACATATGTCCGTGTTTAGAGAAACAGCTGACAACAACAGCATTTTTAGGGAAGACAGTTTCCATCCTCCTTGGTTAATAGGTAACATAACCTTTGGTCAGTTTCAGAGACTTAAAGCTGCAGTAGGTAACTTTTATTTTAAAAACTCTTTGTAATATTTACTGAAACTTTCACTACATCCTGACAGAAGAACATGAGACAGATAATCTGTGATCTCTGGCTCCAAAACAAAACAACCAATCAGAACCAAGAAAGATAGAAAGACACTTTGGGTTTCTTTACACATGTCTGCCAATATCGGTCAATATGTCCATCAAGCTCAGTTTATTGTGATGGATTAGTATCTTAACCTTGTTTCCAAAGTGCAGAAGTTAAATTTAATATTTAATCATTTAAAACAGTTTATCGTTCTGCCTTGTGCTTCTATGCTGCATCTCCGCTGGTGGTCTGACAAAAATGCTCTAGAAGCTCCTGCACCCAGCTGTGTTCACCAAGAAATAGTTACAGCTCAGAGGTATTACTGCTGCAAATGTTCTACAAAATGTCATTTTACTTACAGTAAGCTGCTCGCACAAACAGAAAGACAAGAACAGAAGTTGCAGCACCCTCTTACAGTCGGTCCACATGAGCAATGCGTGACGGCTGCCTCACTGAACTGCCTGAGTTCTGCCTGAGGTGACCACACTGAGAGTGCTGCCAGCCCTGTCTATACTGAGTTTGCATTTGATAAATAAAATACAGTCCAGTGTGTAACCATTAGGAAGCTTTATTGGCAGAAAGGTGTGTTTTCTTCAGTGTCTATTCACCTGAAAATAATAATAATTGTGTTTTTGTTACCTTAGAATGAGACGTTTTTATCTACAGATGGAGCAGGTCCTCTTCTGGCGGAGTACCCAGTAGCCCAGAACGGACAAACCAAACACTGGCTCTAGATAGGGCCTGTCACCTTTTTCACGTGTTTCGTGGTCACTGTAGCGTCTCCTACACACTTCAGTCAGTTGTTTCAGCTGGTTGCAATCCGCAACTTCCCCACTAGATGGCACTAAATCCTACACACTGGTCCTTTAACTGAACTGACTAAGGAGGCACTGAAACACAACCCAGTAACAACAGCCTGTAAGTCACTGTGAATGTTTTAATGTTTAATGTTGGACAGAGCCAAGCTAATTGTTGCCCCTTGCTTCAGGTCTTTATGCTAAGCTAGGCTAATCGCCTCTCAAATTCATCTAACTCTCGGAGAGAAAGCAAACAAGCATATTTTCTAAAATGTCGAGCAGTTAGGAGCAGCTAATTGAGCATCAATAAATCATGAAATTAAACAGATTAAACTAATTAATGAATTGCCGACAGTAACATTTAATTGAATTTGGCCTAATTTAATTAGATTTAATTTAATTTTGTCTGATTTAATTAAATTAAATTAATTTAATTTGAACTTTTTTGAGTTGTGTGTGGTGACAGCGGGCAGGGGGGGTCAGATTCTGTTCAGGGCCCCAAGAATGCCTGAGCCAGCTCTGGTATGTGCTATGATATGGGTGTGGTTGGCAGACAGTAACAGATGACTCTGAGACATCCTAAGGTTTAGGATCGAGGAGGAGGAGGAGGAGGAGCGAGGTGGGGTGAGGAAGGAGGTGAGAGATGAGCACAAGTTGCCACCTCGCTGTTACACTGTCAGCCGCACCCTGAATACCAGCTCCATGTCATTCAGAGGCATCGGGAGTACACTGTTTGTTATGAGTTTAATACACACCAGACTGTATGTCCACACACACACACACACACACACACACACACACACACACCTTCTCACATTATCTTGGCTGCAGGGTTCTCCTCACTCACTTGGATCTCAAGGTCACTCACACTCAGTCACTCAGGAGCAGCTGCAGCTTCATCAACACCTACAGCATTTGTCTCCGTTCAGACACAGTTGAGTCTCACTCCCTCGCTTCGTTGCACCTCAGCAGTGTGTGCGTGTGAGAGCTACAGTTCATTTCCCTGTCTTCTTATTACCCTGAAAATCTAATTAAAGGAGACAAACTGAGGCAAGGACGCGTATTGTGATCGTTTGACGCCCCCTCGCGGCTGACAGGCAGAACATCATGCCAGAAACCCTGACATGCTCCCATTGTCTCCTCGAACCAGTAACTAATACTGCCTGTTTATATGACGGTTATGGGAAAAATAAATAAATAAATAAATAATCACATGACGCAAAACAGCCTCCATGGGACGTTCAGTAAACACCACCACAAACACAACCCGTAGCAACATCTCCACCTGATTCTTTTTAAATCATAAATCACATTCTATCGAGGGGAAATGTTTGAATCATAATCATAACAAGGTTGATATTCAGTGGAGAGGGCAGAGGCTGCACAAAGGGGATCATTGTTGCCTGCAGATGCCCGTCAGTGGTGCAGTCGCCCTTTGAAGGCTCTCCAATCGCAGCGCATAGCGCGACCGAGGGAGGGCGGGGCTTGTTCTCCCCCCCCCACCATCTCTGCTCCGAGCCCCGCTTTGGCACCGTGTCCCATTGACTAGACGGCGACAACCAGAGCAGCATATTCCACCACGTCTCTGTGCTCAACGCCACCGAAGTGGGCAGGTGATGACCGGGAGCTCTGGTGTTCTGGCACTGGGGGACTAAGGGATGCGCGCCTCCAGGGGGTCACACTTTGGGCAGGTATGAGACCTGTGGCGCACATGGATGAAGGCGCAGCAGATGTTTAGTAGATCCCAGTGTGGATGTAGCTCCATATTCCACTTGTACACTACCAGCAGGCCTGGACCCACTCAGCTCCACATGGATGGAAGCCGCTGTAGGAGCCGTACTCATGGAATACAAAGCCCATGCTGGTGAGCATGCCTGCCTGTCCGAGTCCACTCCTCTCCGGGAGCCTCTCCACGGTCCTCTCCTCCTGACACAGTCTCTCTACTCAGACATCCACTGGTCGCTTCGAGTCCCCCTCGCCATGAGGACGAGTGCTCGGTGATTCGGTGTCTCTGCACGTCTGCACGGACCGGAGGACCCCCCCACTACTCCCCCACCCCCTTTTCGGATCGGGCTTTTGTTGGCTACACAGAGGATTTATCTGCGCTGTGGGCTTTCTTTGTGTCAAAGGGCTTAACGCAGACTGCGCGGACGGCAACAGAGCGGGGGCTTTGCTTCACCCGCTGTTGCGCCCAGCTGCTCTCTTTGTGGCCGGGCCGTGATGGCAGCCGGCCGGACGGAGGCGCAGGACCACCCGCCCGAGAACGGCTTCACCCCGCTGGAGCACCCGGTGCCCCGGCTGCTGCCGCACATCGACGGCTCGGTTCTGCCGTCCCTGGGGGGCTTTGGGAAACATCAGAAGCAGCTCGTGGTCCTGACCTGGATACCGGCATTGTTCATCGGCTTTAGCCAGTTTTCGGATTATTTCCTCCTGGCGCAGCCCAATGGCACGTGCGTGCAACCCCTCGCGAACCACAGCAACTGGACCGCGGCAACCCCGCCGGTCACCGTCACCGGTGGCGCACCCGCGCTGCAACTCAAAGGCAACGGCACCGGGGAGGGATACGGCGACGGCAGCGGTATGCTGTGCGCCTGCAAGGAGTGGAGGCTGGAGCTGCAGACAGGACTTAGTCAGAATGTGGTTACCAAGGTAACGAGTGAGCGCTCTGTTCACCATCATCATCCTCACCACCCTGTGTCTTCATCCTCACTGCCAGTCTCGGTTTAGAGCAGTCTGATGCACAAGTACTAACAGCTGGTTGACAAGTTACCCACTGACCTCTATATGAGAGGGAGTGTGTGTGTGTGTGTGTGTGTGAGAGTCAGTATCACAACATTCACACATCACAATATGGTAAATTAATACCAAATCACACACAAAATAATCAAATTGATGTTCAGTTTATTGAACTGTGCTCCACTGTTCTTCAGTAGATCATATGAAAAAAACAAAGTGGGCAACTGTCCCAGAGCCAGAGAGCTGGAGATGCACCGATAAACCCTTTTTCTCCTCCCGATATTGACTCCGATATCTCACTGCTATGTATCTGCATATTCCAATAACAATCCAACAAACTGACCTCTGTTTCTAAACGAATTGTGTCCCCTGCCGTGATTTGGTGAATGTAACTAACAGTGGAAACACTGAATAATGCTGAAGGAAGCGACTGTATTTAACGCCGATCATCAAGTTTGGCCGATATCCTGTATCAGTGCAGAACTCCAGGGGCCCTGAAAGCTCCAGATTTACTGTGTGTTAACTCGTTTGTGCTAATTTCACTGCGAATTTAATAAGGAAGACGCCATATTAAAGCAATGACATAATAAAGGCCTTCATGTGCATTATATAACCTAATCTTGACACAGTGGGCCCCTGTGTCAAAATCCAGCCTTAAAACCTTCATTATTTCAGTGTTCTTTGCTTATATGTTGCATATTTTGAAGTGTTTAGCCAATCTGGAGTCAGGTCTAGCAAAGAAAAACTGTACATGTTACAGATAGTGGTAGGAACCCCCCCCCCCCCTGATGTTCATCCTGCATTGCACTTGTGTAAAATATAAAACTCAAATAACTGTTAGTTGCTTCGAATCTAATTTAGACACATCGTTTTGTATACAGGATGAAACTGTACGCTTACACCACAACACCATCACCCCAGCTCTGGCACGTGTGCGTGAATGATATCTGTTTTCTAGGTGCTAATAGCCCATACATAATAAACCCATACTGACTGAGTTTTCCACATCACCACCGGCTATTTCCCAACCAAATTCATAAGTCATAACCAATAATTGTCTCGTTCTTTCCTCCCCTCTTTGCTCCTCTGCACAGTCGGAGGGCTCAGCGGGGAGTTCTGTAAATCGTTGTTAAACACCAACACTATTTTCACACACAGCTGAATCTCTCCGCTGGCCTCTCGTAGATACTTTCAGGGTCGTGCACAGATATAAAGAACACATCGTGCTTCCACATGTGTCCTTGGCTGAGCTTCAGATGCTGAGAGCTGCAGCGGTGTGTGCACTGACCCATGGGCTCAGAGGAAAGAGCAGAAAGCTATTGATTTCTGTTATTATTGACACGCGCCCACATTCACACACATGCTTCCCTTTCTCCCTCACACACATATAGACACACACTTTTAAACCCCCCAAAAGACGCACATTTGAATACACGCACACTCATCAGCCTTCATGAATTATCAAAACAGTGAGTCAGAGTTTGACAGACTTCTGATGAGAGAAGCCCACATTTCTTTTTGTTTCTGTGCAGCTTTCAGATTAAAAACTGCTCACTGATGTTTAATTCCCTTTTATCTTGTTGTGGGTGGTTCTCTCTGAAAAGTTGACTAGTGTTTCTCTCTTTTTCTCGTTTTTGTGCCGTGTTTCAGTGGAACCTGGTGTGTGACTCAGCCTGGAAGGTGCACATTGCCAAGTTCTCTTTGCTGGTGGGCTCCATATTTGGATACCTAGTGATGGGTGTCATGGCTGACTGGTAAGCTGACTCTTTTATATCTGTTTTGTGCTTCTATACAACCTCTTTTAACTTTGAACGATCCATTCACCTATGTTACAAAAACGATATTTTCTCACTTACATTGGAAACTGTTTGGGAAAGGGCAGGAACCTAAAAAAAACCACTTGTGATTAGATGAACTATCTGTTTCTTGTGGGCTTATTGCAGGATTACACTGGGTATTTGGCAACCAAAATGGGCCCCATTTGCGTTGCCCGCTCTGAGCCCATGCTCTCATTTCCCATTAGTGACCCAACAAGGACCCACAGATGGAGCCCACATGGGTTTACCCATGAGGGGCCTACTTAGTTGACCCAAGTGGGCCCCAGATACCCATGTACCATGTTACTACAAGGTACCCATGTAGTTAAGCATAACCCATGTGGGGCCCACATATACATGTTAGCTAGTGCGGCTAAAAGCAACTCAAAACAAACACCAAAAACATTTTTATATTATTCTTTTAAATCCATCTTACTATTTTCCCACGAGTCTTCCAAGTTCACCAAACTGTCTTAACCAGAACTTGTTGCACACGGCTCGTTTCGGGTGATGAATTCCACCTTTTCCTTCCTGTAATATCGTCATTAGCCTGTGGCCCTCCATGTGTGGGCAAGAATGTTTTTAATTTAAAGTATGATAAAATTGGTGAATGCCAAAAATTCTTTCAAACTGGTTGTACATCCCTCTCAAGAACAAATCTGTTTGTACAAGTGGCTCTTGCAGCCCATTGTCCTCATTAATCTGGCTAATCCACAGACTTTACTGTCAACTGTGATGATTTAATCCGTAGTAAGTGGCTCCTATAATAACTGTCTAGGATGTTGCTATTAAATTATTTGAATGACGTTTTTTTAAAGCTGTGACCACAAAGAACATCTCAAAGATGGACATTTAAAACCAAATGTATCTGAATGGCTGAGTGAGAAAATATGTTTATTTGTAATTGGGTGAACTGACCCGTCTGCAGCCTGTGAGCCAGCTGAGCTGCCTCGTGGGAAAAAAAGTCCCTGCATTGTGTTTGGGATCAGTAACTATGGTAACAATGTAAAGAAATGTGCAGGCCAAGGAGGCCTCAGCTCTGACCTGACCCATTGACCTACTGACCCCCTTTAGACCAGGAAGGCCACAGACTCTGCAGGACACAATGACTGGAATGGTCTCTTTCACCTCGACTGCACTTCAAAAAGCTTCATTTCTCAGTTTGTGACAGTTTTTAAAGCTACGTCTTTCTCCTTCTGCTTGTCTCTAAGGTTTGGTCGACACCCAGTGTTGATTCTCTCGGTGCTTTTCATGCTGGTGTTTGGTCTGAGTGTTGCCTTCTCTGTAAACGTCACCATGTTCAGCACCTTGCGCTTCTTTGAGGGTTTCTGCTTGGCGGGCCTCGCTCTCTCCCTCTACGTGCTCAGTAAGTACACGCTTTGACTTCCTCGTGCCTGTCTGCTTTTTCTTTGGTTTCTGCTCTCCAGCTGCTGTGTTTCCTCATCCGTCCTCTGTCGTGTATTGTCTTTATTTGAGCTTTAATGCCTGAGTAGATCCTCGGAAGGGACGTAGAGGAAAACATTTTCAGGGGGGAAAAGGTTATTTTACGTTCTCTTGCTAAACTTGGGAGAAATGTTTTGGTTTCTTTTATTTCTTCTCCCACCAGCAGAAACTACAATCTCTGCAAACTGACCAGAAATCCCAATTACTGAAGCTTTATCCTCATATTATGATTTAATGGAGTGAAGTGATATTCTGGGCCTCCACTAACTCCACTGTCTTCTGCTTCCTAAAAAGTTTTACCATTTCTGATAAAATGTCCAGTTTTATAGTTCAGTTTCTAATATTGGTTTGTTCAGACATTTAATTAGTTTATATTGATAAAGGCTGGTGGACTGTACAAACACCAGTGACTGCAGGTTAAACTTTCAGCTGTATCTGGAATTGTGCATCACCAACAAAATGAAATAATGATGGAAATAAGTTCACTGACAAAGTCTGGTACCTTGTATTTTATAAAAGGCCTATATTAAAATGTTGTAAGTAAACTGAACCAAAACAATCTATCCTTTAATCCATAGAAGTGTCAAAGTGTTCACAGTCCAGTTACTCTTCGAAGCAAAATACCCCCCCTCACCTGTGCTGTTCCTCCTGGGACACCAATTAGTTGTAAAAAGCCAAAGTTAAAACCAGAACCTAATTCAAAATCACACTGACACTTACGCTATCAATAACACTAATTATCAAAAACAAAAGGCTTAAATTAATCTTACTGAATTGTGTGGTTCGTTGTCTACGTCTCCATGGAGATGGTACATTTCTACAAAAAAAAAACAATCTTAATCTTAATCTCTGGTTAGACGAGGAGGGCCAGTGCACTGCGGACAATTTTAGATTTTTTGAACATTGTTGATTATAAACAAAATTACAGCCCTTTTAAACCAATTTAACATCTGCTTTAATTCTGTGAGAGAACACAATCTGCTGTTCCCCCCCTCCCCATCTTCCTCTATGTCCCCTCTGTAGCTCTGCATACAGTAATAGCCCGTGGCCAAGGTGTTCTTATCAACACCAAACTGGCTGACAGCATTTTTATTTCTCCTGAGAGCGCCCTCACCCGCCGCTGCATTCCCCACTGTCCCCTCTCCCTGCTGCCGTCCCCCCCTCTTTCTCACCCTCTGTAGGCCTCTTCTCTTTCAGGCCAGTGGGAGATTAGTCATACATTATGCGTGAAGCGAGGGCAGACTTTGAGCCTGGGCGGTGGGGCGGGTTTTGTCCCTCTCTGCAGGGGTTTCTGATAAATCTCGACTGAACTGCTTCTTAAAACAAACAAACAAAATGGACGCCTCCGTGCCGTCTGCCGGGAGAGCGGAATTTAATCTGTGATGTATACAAACAAACACAAATAAGATTGTCTTTTATGGCCCTGGTGTGAGTGGACTGTGATTCATATCTGCCTTATATCATGGGTATAAGATGAAGACAGCACTGTAACAGGAGTATGGCTGGAGATACGAAGGAATATTGTGATTAACGTTCTTGATTGCCACCCAGAAATCTGTACAATAAATCATGTTACAGCCAGAGCCGAGGCATCATTCATTCATTCATTCAGTTAATGTTTAAGTACATTTTGTGTGAATTTTATTAAATTTCAAAGCCGTCTGCACACTGCCAGGAATACACATTTGTTTTAAAATGTTGCTGTTGACCTAAAAGTAGTCAAATTTCAAAATTACTTGAATCTGCCCTCAAAATGTTATTTAAATAATCCAGGGTACTGTAGCACTCCCTCCAGGGTGCTACAGTAAAATGCATATCAACGAGTGGAAGGTAGTAATGGCAGATGAGTATACGGTGCTGCAGGAATGAGACCTAAAACCTGGAACTGAGTGGGTTTTTGTTTCGACGCCTGAAATAATGTCTGTGGTTAACAGAAGCTTAAGAGATTTTCCTGCTTTGTTCTACGACATCGAATACATCAGTAAATACCCCACCAATGGACCCCCCAATGGAAAACTCCCATTGGCTTTTTGTTGAAGGAACCAGGTTGGCCTACATCATCCCTAAAGGGCTAAAGAATTTGAGGAAAATATCCAATTACAATTATTCTGACCAATATTGAGATTTAAATTGCAATTCTTATCTATTAATAAGATTCTTTTACATGTGTAGATTTAGACAAAACAGTGAAATTGCTTTTCTTTTTGAATTTCTCTCTTAATTCTTTTAAACCAGTCAGTCAGAGAAAAGGTGTTCTGTATGACATTCAGATTTAATCTGTATTATTAAGAACCAAGTCGGGTGTATCAGAGCTTTCAGGACATTCGTTCATAATTATGGAAACATGACGTGAATGCATTTAAATCTGCGGTCAGTCGGCAAAAGTACGATAGGGGTCGTGGTGTGTGTGTGTGTGTGTGTGTGTGTGTGTGTGTGTGTCTTGAGCTGAGAAAGCTCTTTTTAAAGATTTCGATTCCTTCCATGGTGCTAAAAACTCCAGCTTGGCCAACTGATCTTGTTCTTCATGGTTTCTTCTTAGCACTTTTTACATCCAGCTCACATTTCCTCATTTATGTCACACACACACAGACACACTTTTCTCCCGTGCTTACAGTCTGTTTGCTAAACAGAAATACCTGTAATGGGAGGCAATTTTCCTGTATTTCTCTAGTTGGTGTGCTCAGTCTTGACAAGGATAAGTAACGTGTGTGTGTGTGTGTGTGTGTGTGTGTGTGTGTGTGTGTGTGTCTGCTGTTTGCGTGAGAGAACAGATTGTATGCACGCACTTTGAAGTGCAACAAAAAAGGTGTTGGTGTGAGTTTGTGTGTGAGGTGTTTGTTGGTTGTGTGAGGTGTAGATGAGTACAGTAGGAGGAACAGTCGGCTGGCTGCCACAGAATGACTCGCTTTGAAGTGAATTCACGTTATGACAGCGGATAATAGACGCTGCCATCCCATTAACAGTGAAAAACATGTAGAATAACAGCACACAGCGTATCATGGCAACATTTAAAGCTTCCAATAAACACATCCTCAAAGGCTGAATAGGTACTGACACAGGCTGTGAGATGGATGCAGAATTGGACCCTGAATATGAGATTTCTCATTACTGTACCTCTGTTTGTGCTTTTATTGTTTGCCGAGAGAGGCACAGTAATCACCCTGCAGGACAGAAACAGTGCAGTCGATCAGTATTTTGGCAGTGACACATTGTTTTCTTGTGCTTCCTCTGTAGTCCAGTACATTGGATTTTCAAAATGAATATGAGGCTGAAGTGCTGACCTCCAGCTTTAATTTGAAGGTTTTCACATCCATATTGGATGAACACTGGACTCATAGCTCTTTTTAAAACACCGTGTAGCAGGACAACAACAATATAGGATGTTTTTCCTTTTTATACATAGTAAAGTAATTGGACAAGTGCTATAAAGTTCAGTAGTTGTCATGATTAAAGAGAAACTTATTATTACAACAACGTCTAATTTGAGCAGTTTTAAGCATTATGGCACTTGGTAATAGTGAGACTGCTGCTCACCAAGTCTCCCATCTAACCAGGGCCGACCCTTCTTAGCTTCTGCGATCAGACAGGATCTTAAGGTTGTGCTTAGGGTTGTAAAGCTGTGAGATCTGGGAATGTGGCAACACTGCAAAAAGGAGCCCTGTAGGGAAAGAAACACAGGCAGTCAAATGATCAATGAATCCTATTTGGAAGAGAAACTGTCCATTTTAAACATCCATCAAAGTCAACAAATCGACCTCCTTGCTCCTTCTACTTACCAAAGTTGCGTGCTCATAGCTTTCTTCTGCAGCGAGGGATTGTTATCAACATTTTGGGTGCCCACCTCCTAAAGCGGTTCAGATAATCTCATTTCATTATCTTGACATTGACCTGCTACACTGATACACCGGATACTGAAGCTGCACTGCTCAGGAACAAAGCAATAGAAAAGAAAAGAACGGTCAATAGTACAAAAATAAGACCAGGGTTGTACATTTATTCTTTAAAATGTAGGTCTCAGACTCTTTGCAGTTTGACTGTGTGAAGGCTTCGACCCACAGACATCAGCACTCTTGATATCTTCCCCTGGTGATGTATTTTTTTGTCTTCTGCTCCTCAGTGGGTGAAGCACATTATCAGTTGGATTGAGGTCACGTAACTGACTCGGCCAGTCAAAAACATGTTACCGTTTGTCCTTGGTTGCCTTGTTTCTGTGTTCAGTATCATTACCCTGCTGCGCCGTGCTCGAAGTGGGGGACTGTGTATACAAAGGGCCAGATGTTTACAGCCATTATGGATGCAAACAGCCTCAAATTAAAGCTGAAGGCTGGCACTTCAACATCAGAGTCATTGTTTCATTTCGAACCGAACAAGTGGAGCCAACAATATCAAAACACGGCACCATCGTAAAACTGCTCTGTAATGTAAAGTAATGTTTAAACACAACGGAGGCATATTATTGTAGACTGCGAGACTGCGGAGGGCTGAATAAGCTGCAGCGGGAAGCAGCTCAGACAGAGAAACATGTAGCATGCATATACTGTATCATGGATGATTGTACAGTAAGCATGCATGTGTATGTGCTGCTGTTGCACGGACACATGCGTATTATTTCCCCACAGAAAGACTCTTTCTGCCTTTTCTTTCCCTCCTTTCACCCTCTGTCGCTGTAAAACCAGCGCTGATTTTCTGTTTCTAAATCCAGCAGCTCTCTTGCCCTTTCCATTTTCACTCTGTGCTTCCCTCGACTCTCCTCTGCCCAATTCTTCCCATCCTCCTCCTCCTCCTCTCTCTCTCTCACTACCATTTTATTACTACCAGCCCTAGTACCCCTCACTTCCTCATTTTCTCGAGGCTCATTTGAAATCTCTCATCGTCCGGTTATCTCTCCGCAGCACCCAGCGCATAATAAACTCAACTGGAGCT